ATATCTCGGTTTAACGGATTTTTGGAAAATTTTCCCTAATTGCCCAAACTATCCGTTAAATCGAGATTCACTGTGTATTAGAATAGAAAAATAAATAAATAATACCTTCTTTTTTGCATATAAAATACAATAATAAAAGAAAAAATGTAAAGCGAACATATCTATGTCATAAAAAAAATCAATATCATTAATATAATTTAATAAACGGTGACGTTTGAAAGAATAGCTTAATAGTGATTTCCCAATATCTTATACTAATTAACCAAAAATGGGCTAGTCAGTAAACCCTATGGCGTGATTTTTTCCTTATTTGGATTTAAATTTAATTCTCTATTGACCCGAATTATGTGTCGCGGTTACCTTTCCCTTTTTTTTAAAGTACTTTCGAATCATAAATTGCTACCAGATTTGCTAATTTATAAATACATTGCTTCACACTACAAAACCTCCTTGTTGCTAAGAGAGGAAAAGATAATAAGCTGCAAAATAAAAATAATATAAGTTGCATTGTTAAAGTCATACTTAATGTAACTATTATATAAAAATAAATTTAATATACAGTATATACAATTGTTTGATCACTTATTAATCAACCATTTTCACAACATAATTATCCTTTCTACTCATTTACCAAGAAAGCAAAACAGCTGATGGATGAGGTCAGAAAAAGAAGTACATTTTATGAACTTTTTAATCAAAGATTTTTAAGTGCTAAAAGAATGAATTGATTATTGTATTTGTCTTAAATTGAAAATAATGCTTTTGGTGATTATGTTCAGGATTTATAACTACATTAAAGTCTCTTGCATTAAAGCACCATTTTAATTTGTATCCTTTAGATTAATATGGGTCCACATGGATTTCTTTGTCATCTCTATTGATAATACAAATTCTATTTTTTCATTGAAAAAAAGTAATTAGCTAGCCCCAGATTTTTATCAATGTTTTTCTTAACATTTAAAAGCAAAAATCCAAACATATTCTGCAAAATGAGATTGGTGATAAAATTGTTTTGTTGAATGTCATACAAATGTGACAACAAAGAATGTCCACATGCTAAAACCACTTTAAATAAATGAAATTACATCCAGAAGTTTCAACAAATAAAAAATAACATATATCTATTTGATTGTGACCAGAAAACTCTTTTGACTTCCCAAAAAGTTTCGGAAAATGAACTTACACTAAGCAGAAAACTAAAACTAAACCTAAATGTAAACCTAAACCTAAACCTAAGCTACTAACCTAAACTAGTTTCGGGTGGTTTCTGTTAGTTTCTGTTTTGGGTTTTCCCTAAACTCAGAGTTTCGGGTCACAACACTGAAGCTGCAAAGAATTTCTCTTCTTTTCCAACACTATTTTTTAGAGTTGATAAACACTCTATAACCCCCACCAACCCTACACAAAGGTTTGTACTTAAAATGTACTTAAAATATACCGATGGAAGAGAACAAGAACATTTTAAGTGAATTTTAAGTATGTTTTAAGTATATGAAATTATATTTAACTTAATTATTATCTTGCATATATAAACATTTTATAGTAATTAAAAAAAAAATTTGTATAATATTTTTACTTAATATAAACACTTAGAATTATTATTGCTTAACAAGTAGAAAGGTGTTGGACTAGAGTTAAGCTAGCCAATGGTTGATGTTGATTACGTGAAAATATCTGGCCACCTGTTTTCATTTGCTGCCAAATAAGTTGAAATATAATGAAATTTCTGGAGGCATTGACATCTCTATTCCTATTCCAGACTGCGGTACAATTTTTTGCAGTTGAGCACAGTATGCAGAGGACTATCCAGTTTTTTGAACGAATTTTAGAAGATCCTAACTCGGGTATCTTATAATCACAAATGTTCCAGGTGATAAAGTACCTTATAAAGAATTCTACACACACCTGTCCATTTTCCTTTCATACAATGGTTGAACATTGGATTGCCAAATGAACAATAATTTTTTTGTTGGGATCATGACTTCTTATGATGCAGGTCTCCATTTTTGAGTTGGTGGTGATTAAGTTGGTGATGGTGACAGTAGTTGCATTGGAGATATGGACAGTTGTGTTGGTTCTAGTGATTTCATTGGTGATATTGTTG